TTATCCTATCATTGACAGCATTGTACTTCAGGATAGATCTTGATACATTCTTTGTGATGATGAATGCTATGTTATTCTTCTTCAATTTGTCATTCCAGGCATAGTAGATCATATGATCGTCTGATTCAAAATGGCCAAAACCAGTCCATTTCAGTTCACTAATTAATGCCTAGGATATTGATCTCCATGTACTCCATTTCATTTTTGACAACTTCCAATTTTCCTAGATTCACATTTTGTACATCCCATGTTCCAATTATTAATGGATATTTGCAGCTGTTTCTTCTCATCTTGAGACTTGCCACATCATCAAATGGGGGTCCTGAAAGCTTTACTCTATCCATATCATTAAGGTCAGCTCTACTCTGAGGAGGCAGGTCTTCTCCATTTGTACTTTGAGTGTCTTCTGACCTGACGGGCTCATCTGCCAGCACTATATTGCACAATGTTGCAGGGCTACTCATAAAATTTTCCAGTAAAATATCAGACAGTGTTTCACTGCTATTCATAAGGTTTTCACGGCCAATTCTTTCAGAAGTGGATGGCCTCTTCCTTCTTCTGAGTGTTAGTCTGGAAGCTCTGCTGAAACCTGTCCACCATGGGTAACCCTGGCATTTGAAACACGAGTGGCATAGTCTCCAACCTCACAGCAACCCTCAAGCCACCACAGTATGACAAGCTGACAGACAAGTTTGTCTCCCCTAGCTGTTCTAAACTGCTCTGCTTATTTCCTAGTCTCTCCCGTCCAACTCACATACCTGGCCTGCCCCCACTGCAAATATCCACCTTCCATTGGTCCCGGGGCTGGCTTACTAGTACCTACCAAACAAAAAAACCAAACTCACTGCCACTGAGTCGATTCTGACTCTTAGTGACCCCCTTTGGGTTTCCAAGGCAGTAAATCTTTATGGAAGTAAATTGTCCAGTCTTCCTTCTATGGAGTAGCTGGTGGGTTTGAACTGCTAGATTTCTGGTTGGCAGTCAAATGCCTTAGGCACTACCCCACCAGAGCTCCTCATAACATCTATATGCAGTACAATATAGTTGCATATTAAACACATGATGATGAAATCATGAGGCTGTTTTTTGACTCTATATCTGTTATTTAATATATAACTTCCATAGTGCTTAGAATAATTAATCACATACATTAAAGAATAAAAATTTTATGAAAAATAAGCGAAACATTATCCTATTTTCTCCTATATTGTTCAGTGACCACAAAAACAGTATGAAGAATAATTAATATTTATATAGCACTTTATAGCTCTTCTAGATCTGTTATTTAAGATGACCTTCCTAACAACTAAAGAATTTTAAAAGAGCTTATTAAAATTCTTCTTTTGTAGAGAGGGGATACCAGGGTTCTGAGAGGTTAAGTGGTTGACCTGAATGGAAACTGGAGACTATTAACTCCAAATTCAATCAATGTTATTGAATCTGAGAAGACTTAAAAAAAAAAAAAAAAAAAAAAGTCTTCTATAAGCTATTCTTATAAACCTTATAAAGACATTTAATTAATTATTTACTTTCTATCATAATTAAAGTATTTTTAGTGTACCTGTGGCATTTACAGTACTATTCTTAACTGTGGAGAATGAAAATTAAGTACAAATGAGGATTAATAAGATCAGTGGCTAAACCAGTGATTTAGCTAATATGAGGAAATTGTATTTATATCTTTGTGCCAAAATAATGTCATAATTATTTGGTTTTCTAGGTGATCACAGACAGTAAAAATTAGCTCAACTTATATAAGCTGGAGAGGGGTTTATGAAAGAGCTAGGGTTTGAGCTAGATCAGAAAGATGGGTGAAATTCAGATTGCTTAAGAAAAGACAGATTAGTTTAATCACAAATAGGGTTTGGCAAAGCACAGTGTGCAAAGACACAGAGGGAGGAATGCACCTATGCTGAGCAACACAGTAGGCTGGTCCAGCTAAGCTCAGAGTACACTGTAAAGATAGTCTAGGGTCAGATTTGTACAGGGTCTTGTATCTAGGCTACAGAAAGACTTATATAACCCAATAGACACATAGGAAGTCAGTAAGGATGTTTTAGTAAAGACATGGTATAATGACAGAATGTAAAAGGAGGAGGGAATTATACATCAAGAAGCCAAGGACAACTGCAATAACACATTTATTTCAGTTGTGATGCAAAGAGATGGTTTTCAGACATTTTGACAGAAAACCTTAAGTACTAGATAATTTCAATACTATATGTTCAGGTTACAGAGAATAATGTGGCCCTTCATCAAACTGAAGAATATTTTATTAGTCTGGGCGGTGAGTTAGGTTTTCGGTTTTGGGATATGGCTCAAAATTTTTTTTTTTTTTTTTTTGGGGGAGGGTGTGTGGAGTGTGTATGTATGTGAGTGTTAATTTTTAGCTCCCCAAATGATTCTAATGATAGCTAAGATAAAATGCCACTTGCCTGGACATGTCTTTTCTTTTCTTTTTTTTTTTAAATTGTGATTTGGGTGAAAGTTTGTAGAGCAAATTCATTTGCCATATAACTGTTCCTACACATTTTGTTTCATGACACTCATTGCAGTCCCCACAATGTAACAGCTCTCTTCCCACTTCCTCCCTTTGGTTACCTTTGCCCAGTGTCTGTCCCTTTTTCCCATGCATTCCTGCCCTCTGAGCATGGTTGGTCATTCTAAGGAGTGCACCTACTGGGTGTAAATATTCACCTTAAACATCTATCTATTGTTTGGCTGGAAGCTCCAGCAGTAAGTTCATTTCTAGGCCCAAAAGGTGATTAGGACCATAGTCTTCAGGGTTTTACCCATCTTTATCAGACAAGTAAGCATGGTCTTTTTTATGATTTTGAGTTTTGTTCCACATTTTTGTCCCACTATATCCAGGATCTCCTATTTTGAGCCCTTTATGAGTGGGTGACAGTGGTATCCAGCCACCATCTAGTTCTTCTGGTCTCAGGGTCATGTAGGCTGAGGATCACATGGTCAACCAGTTCCTTGACTAATTATTTTTACATATTTTTGGTTTTCTTCATTCTTCTTCACTCCAGATGAGGAAAGAACAATTGTTGCATCATAGATGGACATTTGCAAGCTTTTAAGAACCTAGCCACTATACCAAAGTAGGATGCATAACAATGTTCCTGTGTAGTATGTTATGCCAACTGAGCTTGATGTCTGGACTTTTTTTTTTTTAATATTTCTTATCTGATCTCAAGCTTTGCCAAGGCTCCATACACCCAAGTAACTCATTTGTATTTAACTCATATATATATATATATTTGTTGTTGTTATGTACCATCGAGTACGACCTGACTCATAGCGACCCCTCCTTGGGTTTCCGAGGCAGTATCACTAAGGAAGTAGATTGCCCCATCTTCCTTCCGAGGAGTGGCTGGTGGGTTTGAACCGCCAGCCTTCTGGTTAGCAGTCAAGTGCCTTAGCCACTATGCTACCAATATTATTAATTAAGCTATATAATACTTCCCTGCTTTGAGTCCTTTAGGCACTTTGCTTTTATACCTTTGATAACTGACATTACTCTGATTTGCAGAGTGCCAGGATTCTTTAGATGATTGGAAAGTGAGTACACAAGACAGGGTCTACCTGGAAAGGCTAGGAGTTCCTCAGATAGATCAATCAGAACAATTCTGTTTTTGTTAGATATTGGGGTTCTGCATAAGATTTTCATTTTTTTTAAAAAAGTATTTTGTTACTAAAAATAAAAAACTCAAAAACAACTGGTTTATATAATTTCTATACTAGAAATCATAAACTACATGATTAACAAATTCTCTTCCCCATTGGATTGTAAACTTCTTCATGGCACAGATTAAATTTTTGATATCTCTGTACCTCCCGCAGTGTCTGGAAATGACTGGTACATGACGGGCATTCAAAAGATGTGTTGAAGAACTCTTTACCTCTGTGTACCACCATCGGGCAATTCGGTACATCCTGAAACCTGTAAGCACTGACTTAAAAGTTTTGTCTCCATCAGAATTTAGACATTTGGAAGTGCCCAGTCATAGATTTCTGAAAATCTCAATTCAAGAAAGCACGCTGAGTATACAAACGCACAACGCACTGTGGTAGTTAATGAAAGAGAAATGAAAACCAGTAAAAGAGCAGTCTAAAGGTATATTAACAGGGATTGTGTATTTCAGACCTGACCCAGACTGTAAGATGAATGAGGCTTATGACAGAGATCCTTGATTAAGCATTTTTTACTTCCAGGGTTACTGTCGGATGATGGCTTCTTGCAAACGTTAAAGAATAAACCACATGTTGGAAAGTTTGACAAGAAAAAGAAAGAGAAATGGAGCAGTACTTATAAAGGGTAATGCAGGTGAAGATCTTTTTCCACCAAATAGGAGAAAATATAGTGTATGTTTGATGTCAGAAACAGTGACAGCAGAAAAATCACAGAGAGGGAATATTTATCAGTTTAGCTGTATTATGAGTTCAAAAATAATGACAATTCTCATAGATTGAATTGTGTCCCCTCTGAAAGTTATGCTGAAATCCTAACCTCCATATCTATAAATATGACCATTCTTGTTAATAGTTTTCTTTTGCTATGTTAATGAGGCCATGCCAGAGTAGAGTGGGCCCTAAACCTAAACGCTTCTGAGTAGTGTCTTATAAAAAAAAAGCAGAATGGACACAGACAGACACACAGAGAGAAGAGACCATGCGAGGAACAGTCTATAAGCCAAGAAATGCCAAGGCATAGCTGGGGCTATGGACAAGGTGGGACCCTCCTGTAGGACCAATGACTTATTTCAGACTTCTAGCCTCCAAAACTGTGAGACAATAAATTTCTGTTCCTTAAACTCACCTTCTTTGTGGTATTTTTTGCTATGGTAGTACTAGATAACTAACATAGCAATTAAGGTTTTATGGTTATCCATAAAGCAGACTTGATTCTGGAAGCACAAAACATATTTAAAAATAACAGGGTTTTAAAAAATATAGTTTCTTATATTACTCTGTGATAGATTTATAGTTCCTACCTTCACCACTCTCCATGCCTTCTACAAAAATTCCCCCACACTGAGGAAGAATCCAGTATCGGCGTCTATAACGATCTTGGCCAAACATCATTGAACGTAAAGAGTGAGAAGCATCAAAGAGCTTCCGTCTGTACTGACTCTGTTGCTGTTAAAAATGATACACATAATTAAATTATGGATATTAAGTGTTTTAAAAATTAATATATAAATGACTTTACATTTGTTATGCCATTAGAGTAGATAAATTCCACTATCGGGAAAAGAGCAAAAGGGCTAATATTATGTAGCCAACTTAAATTTCAGTAACATAAAGATAGCAATTATTTTAAGGATAATTGGAACATTTTTGTTGCCATAGATTAAAAGGATGAATTCTATTTTACCAGGTTTCTTATAGTAAAGTATATCATAAACAGTGTGATCAAGTATTTCATTGAGTCAAAGCAAATGGTTCAATTTTACTGATTACAATGTCTAATATTATTTACTTAAGTAATTGACCATATCTATATTCATCTATCTTTATACTCATACTATAAACATAGGCAAATATATGACTAAATTTTGGAATAGATCTGGGATGAACCTAACATTGAAATAATATACAGTGATTACATAATATTAATCTCATAATATTTTTTAAACTCATTTTTGTTTTATAAAAAGTTCATCTGAAGTTTCATTAATTCTACTGATAATTAATTTTTGGTGAGAAGAAAGTAGATATATACTGTATAAATCATCCAATGCAAATAAAATTCACAGACAGGCAAATGCAAAGTAAAATATAAGATGCTAAAATTGTTACCATGAAAATTTACCTGTGCTTTTAACATTATCTTGTATTTATATGAAGAGTTGAAGAATATAGGGCTTTTCTTCATATGCCCTGAATAAGTTTAGTGTCATGTCTTAGGAGGCAAATTTTCATCTTGGCATATACTTTTTTTTTTTTTTCTTCCTTTTTTTTTTTTTATTAGGATTTGGGTGAAGATTTACAGAGTAAATTCACTTTTCATACAGCAGTTCACATATACTTTGTCTCATGT